CGACAATATGCGTTTTTGCTGGCTCTAGCAGCGCTATAGCGCTGCACAGCAAAAACGCATAAAAAGGACCAAATTGGAATGCTTCGGTCAATCAAATCGCATATGGAGGGGAACTCAAGTCAAGAGACGAAACATATGCATATTACTGGGAACTGAAGGGCAACTGGACAAGGGGAAGGGGTTTAGCCACCATCTTCGTTTCCGTGCTACTAGCACCTTGTTCCTTTATGACATATTTTTAACCGGGCAGGTTGACTAAAAATGAGCTTCGGCGCACTCTGTATTACGCATTCAGGCACTTGCAACAAAAAACGTTTTCGCCAAGCAGCTAAGCTGGGAAGCTGAAATTTTACAAGGATATCCCGTGTTCGTGTGCGATTGAAATATTTCATATTCAGCTTTAAAGCACACCTGGTTCACGTATAGGAGCAAATGAGACTTCAGTTTAGGACTTTGTTGGCACTCAATTAACTAGGTTACTGGACTGAGCAGGAAGCGTTTTTTTTTTCTTAGAATTTTTGCTGTTCATATGCGGCCATCATGCGTGAGATGAGCTTCGGCCCAAACATGGATCCTGCTTACATTTGCATCAAATGTACAAATTTCAATATTGTAGTCACATCTCGCTAGCACAGGTGAACGCTCTACAGAATGAGATCGTGTAAAAATGCATGATCGCACTGGCAAGTTTGATAGATCGCCACTTAGGTTTTTGTAATGGTAATTTCACAACTTGAAACGTGACACGCTGTAACGAACCACCTCACTAGGAACTACATTTTACGAAAACTTGAATTTAGATGGTGTTTTAAAAGGGACAAGACAAGAAAGAGAGAGTGAAGCACTGATAGCATGTGATAATACTGATTTACAGCAAAATTTTTACTTATCAGCATCTCACGTGACACATTCGGTGCACAACTCAAGATTCATTGATGCACAGCAGTTCACAAAGCTTCAGCATTTCAATTGACGAGTCCACTTCTTCCTGCTCCTGTTCGCTCAGTCCATCCAAAATCCCATCAATTTGTTCATTTTGTTCATCACTGCTCAGCTTGTAATCATTCACTACGGATACTATTTTCCGCAGTATATTTTTAACTGAATCACTTGCGTTTAGACTGTCCACTGCAGCTAGCGCTGCTGCATTTGTAGTCTTCGATTTTTTGATGAGGTCACTCATATGTGCCTGAAACAAGTCTTAACGGCTATTTTTAATCAGTTTGAACATTCCGCGTTAGATTTAAACGGGTTTTTGGAAAGAGATTTTTCTCAGAGCCACGTAAAGAGTTTTCCCTTTGGTGGACAGGGAGAAGGTAAGCTATTTTTAATTTTTCTTGCCCTAGAGGGGGCAGTCAGCTTTAGCTAAACTGGATACGATACACCAAAACTAGGAGAGAAACTGAAATCGCTGAGCAAAACCTCTATGCTCACTTTACTGCCATTTTATGAGCATCACTTGCTAGTGACTGATATGAGTAAGAAAAGAAAGCTATTTGGACAACTTGCAAGTAATGGTATACGTAAATGAACATTAGTTAATTTGCATACATGGATTTTTTGACAAATGACCGCTCGAGCAATACTTCCACTTTTTAGTGAACTGGAGATTTGTATTTTCTCAATAAATTTGCATTTGTCATTTTTTCACAAAGCGAGCATTTACTGAAACCCAGGGTGGAACGCACCAGGCGGGCCGGTGCGATTATGCGTTTTTGCACTTCTCGTGCCGTAGCAAGAACGC